TTCTCCGTTGGATTTACGGCAGACAAATAATTTTTTAGGAAAACGGGGAATGCCACAGGAAGAGAAATCTAGCAGTTTTTTTATCACTGAATTTCGGAAAATTAGCGGAACAATCGTGAGGCTGTCGTGACTTTTGAGAATATTATAATCAAATTTCAAGGGACGTGTCACGCCGATTTAGGAACATTTTCCCTTTTTATCAAGGCTTATTTTATTTTTAATAATGGAGTAACTAGGGTAAATAATGGAGTTAGTTAACTATAATCAAGTGCTTTCATTCGAGAAGCGTTTGAAAAATTGCCTGGATTATCAATAAAAAAATTGATTATCAAATGATTATTGATTAATTAATTTTATTGATCGATTATTGTCACTCTCGATTGTTGTTTATTTTTTTTTAATATTGAAACGCTTGAACGTCTTGATATTGCCTGTCGTCTTGAGTGATAACATTTCAGGGTATCATATGAGTTGTGGGAATTTTGATGGCCAGTCGATAAAGCCGCCGGTAATTATCGATTATTTATCGCGTACAAGTACAATAATGAAATTTGCCTCATACAAGCCAAAAGCTATCCGTCCGCACCCGATATATCGGTTACCTATTCCAGGAATACAGCGCTCGAGTTGCGCCTATCCTCCCACAACCCTTTCATGCCCTAAATTTATCCTACGGAATGCACATTCCCGAGACAGTACCTCTATCCTATCAACACCCCTCCTCAAACATCAATTACATTTCAACCATTTTTTATTTCGTAACCAACTCCCAAAATACATTGTAACAAATTACAAAATACACGGGAAAAAATTGCAAAAAAAATTCGGTGGTAAAAAATATTAAAACTTTCTAGAACCGTTCGGGAAAAGGTAAATATATGAATATATAAATATATTTTTCAATGACTTCATTTTTCAAGATATTTCACCCTTCCACCCGAGATTAATTTCCCTTGGTAATTTTCCTGGAAAATTATCCATGGGATTGAGATGAATATTCAATAATATTATATAATAATTATATTTTCTTAAGAAAACGTGAATACTGGCGGAAAGGGTGTGGAGGATTTTAAAAACACGGAGAGGAATGAATGAATCAGTAATTTTGGTGATTAAAAAAATTATGAAACCCGATCGAAATCCCGCGGAAAAATCCTGAATCGACCCAAATAACCGAAATTGTTGGCCAAGGACTGAAATCGCGACGATATATCACTAGCTGGCGAGTACATAACCCGGGAGGACAGCACATTCACTATGTATTCATTTTTCTTGGGAACAAAACTCATAAAGAGCAGCATTCATAATGCCGCCAGGTCATTCTGAAGCCCCCGCAAAAAAATAAAATAAAAAAAGAATCTCTCCCTCATGTTGTACCAGTGAATTTTAATGAATTAGTTTATGTTATTCTCATTCCCCGAGTATTTTCCCTTTTTTCCCGAGCCGTCGGAAAAATATGTTTCTTCAAAAAACTGCATGCGATACCGAGCTCATCAACTTCCGGGTTTGATCCTCAAAATAATACTCGATACAATTTTTGAAAAAATTTTTTGAAAAAAAAAACAAAATCCCTGAAAAAAGATATGTAATCCAAAAATTATAACTGAGATACATATTTTTTTCGGAATTATATCCATCCAAATATGATAATATTACACAATATTATAATAAATATAAAAAAATAAATCTTGTTGAATGCATTATTCTCCGAAATATATGCGATATATTTCCGGATATAATTGACAGATATCTCTGGAGATATATTTTCTCCATATGATATGTTTTCTCAGGTGAATTTGTTATCATGGAATGTCAACTCCAGGAGTTGATAAAATAAAAATAAACATGAAAATCAATATAAATGTAAAAATGAAGAGTGATGATCGACGCTCATCTGGCATAACCTCGGTCGCCTTCATTTTTCCATGGCATATCGCCCACTCGGTTACGCTCAATAGTATAGGCGGTGTACAAGCATGCATTACCCATGAGTTACTTATACACCGACGTAGTATGTATGAAAGTCCCAGGTTCGAGTTCTATAGCAAGACTCAGGGACAGTCTTTGGTAATTCCCAGAGGGATATTCCAAGAAACTCACTCGTTCCTCCTTTCTCTGTCTACACTATCTCAGACCATGCATTCGCTTCAGTAAAATAACTTGAGACTTGAAAAGATGAGATGCTACACTCGGAATTAACCGGCGGTGGAACAATTATTCCAGGAATTTACACGCATATCACTATCGTGTGTACTTTGATGGTGAAAATTTGTGATGTTTAAATAAAAAATCCAGATGATTTCTATTGGTGAAAAAATTTTTCAAGTCAGACGTTTGAAAATGGAGAAAAAATTCCTCTCTGGTATATGACATTCAGATTAATTAATCGCCTTTAAATTGACAGTTCCCTGGAATTTTTCGCGAGGTCCTGTTTGGATCGCAACGATTTTAAATAAAAAATCAACATCATTTCTATTGGTAAAACAATTTTTCAGGTCAGACGTTTGAAAATCGAGAAAAAATTCCTCTCGGGTTTATGACATTCAAATTAATTAATCGCCTTTAAATTAACAGTTCCCTGGAATTTTTCGCGAGGTCCTGCTTGGATTGGGACGATATTAAATAAAAAATCAACATCATTTCTATTGGTAAAACAATTTTTCAAGTCAGACGTTTGAAAATCGAGAAATCAATCATCGATCTGTAAGATGCTTTAGAGTCTTCCTCCTCATGGTATATTTTCGTGTCGACAGGGACACTGAGTGGATAGGTCAGCCGGAGGAAGAGTCAGAGAACCCTGACTTTTGATAAATCACCCCAAGTTGTACTGCCTTCACTAGATCAACGCAACTCTTCTCTCACGCAATAAAGGGAGTGGCCTCCACGTCATGTCCAGAGAGGATAACTTTTAACCCCCTTGCTCAATAAAAACTCACAAAAAAACTGCTCATCCCAAAGTCTTCACGAAAAAAAAACCTATATACTTGATTTTTTATTTTTCATTCAAGTATATAGATTATAAATCAAATAAATCTACGAATATACTTAAAATTCATAACTCATAATTATTGAAATTCAATTCCCATCAATATTCGTCGAGAATCGAATAGGATCAAGTATAAAATAATTTTTATTCAAGCTTTTTTTCGTATTATTTGGAAATGAATAAAAATTCAGGGAATTGGGGTGAATTTCAGAAAAGCTGGGGCTAAATAGGATTTAGAGATAAAAAGGGGTAAATGGCAAGTGCCATGGAGGGTATAGATGAAGTGTGAGGGTTAATCAGGTGACTTTAAGTGATGAGAGGATATGATGAGTTTTTGGGGGACGCCGATGTCGATCGATCTCTCATCTTTAATGTTTAGTTGCGATTGCTCGGTGGGGGATATTGCAATGGGTAGTAAACTTGTGAGTAATGAAGTTTAGTCAAACTCAAGTGGATACGGCGTTAATGGCTCAGGTATGGTCAGACGCTGTTAATTGTATCTACTGCTGCGGCAGGAGTTTCACTGTTACTCCGGTCAGACGATGCTTCTCCTCACCTTTACGTCACGACCGTCGCAGTCGACCATTTTTTTTACGACTTTTTTTCATCCATTCTGCCAGCTGTCATGCTGTCAAGTCCAATATATTAATCCATGGATTCATAAATCCCTCGTCCAGCCTTTTTTAATGAAATTTTTCATTATCATTGACTCATTTTTTAATCCTCCGAAATTTGTTGCGAAGTGGTAAACTAGGATTAGCGCATTTTTTTGAGATTCCTCGGAATTGAAGGAAGATGGTGATTTTTTTATAGATACCTTTTTTGTAGCTCTCATTTTTTTCTTGAAAAAATTTATTTATTAAAAATTCGATATGCACCTTCCGTTCCGAGATATTGGCTAAAAACTGACCGCGAAAAAAATTCACATATCCTATTTTAGATGTTTGCTACTGAAGTCAAATAATTAAAAGTTTAAAAAGTCATCAAATAAGTTGAAAATCAATTCGCCGTATTTGGTGGAGCTGTCAAAATCCCAGGCAAATCAATTGCTGTCGAATTCCACAAATTTTTATCCGAAACTGTTTGAAAACACATGTCACGTACTCGAAAATCCTCGTATAATCCCGTAAAAACGCGAGTACAATAAACCCAGTGGAGAAAACTCAAAACATCCGACAGAAATAAAACTAAAATTCATCGTATCCAAGTTGAAATAAAAAAAAGCAACTCGTTTCACGTGCCATCAGGGCATAAACCCGGTGAACTCATGAATAGTCGCGGAAAAATCTCTTTCAGCGACGACGATGGCTGAACGATTCGCGATAAAACCGGTATCACAATTCCCATGACACCCCAGGAACAAAGAACCACGCCAACCCGACTAAAAGATAAACACGCGCAAGTACAAATCAACGAAAACCCCCGGAATACCGTGTCCAAAATCTAATAGCCCGCTGAGTAATTACACCCAGAAGAGAGTCAATGTACACAGGATGGCAGAGAATGGAGCGAATACTGATTGCGGAATTCCAATGTTGTTCTTCCTCGATGCGTACAACTTTATAGGTTTCGGTTGCGATTCCACGTGAATGTGTATTTCCGCTCACGAATCACTGCAGTCTTTCCGTTTGAAACTGACATCCAGAAAAAAAAAATGAAAAACAGTCCCAAACTTATAAATTTATCCCGAGATTGTTTGTTTTCATACCTCTCGGTACACGACGGTGCAACTGCATGCACTCAGTTCGTACAACCGACCGATTTCTAGAGAAGAAAAACACGAATTTCAAAACGAAGTTGATCGATTCCACATTTATATATTTTATTACATTATATCTACAATTGCATAACTACGCCCACAAGATATATTACTGCCAAATATATTTCTTTGTGGTTAGTAAATATTTTTGGTAAAAGAATTTTTTTTCCCAATGTATCGTTATTCTGATAGGCAGATAATAAAATGCCTTTATAAATTTTATAAACCTGATTAATTGTTGTAAAGTTAACTCACCAGATACGGCAAAGGCGATTGCCGCCATGAGTGTCCAGCAGGGTTTCATTTTTCTCCTCAAACCAGCGTGGTCGGTTGGTTAGTGGTGGGGGCTTGAAAGCTACCCCCCGCCGTGTTTCAGGAATATTTGTCGTCACGTGGTCACTTCCGAGGGCGATTGGCCCAATCAATCCGTCAAAAGGGTGTGAAAAAAAAAAAAACAAAAAACAAAGCCACCCTCCCCTAGAAGAGAGACCACTGACCGTGGATTCTCCGTTGAAATTTCACCAATTCCCCAGCCATAACCGCCGACGAGACAAACGAGCGGATGTTTAAACGCGCTGTCTCGTCCACACCAATCACTTCAAGCATCCCCCCCCAAACCCCCCTATTTATTCAATAATCGACACGTGACAAGGGCAACATCAAATTGACAACTCCACTCTCCAACACCACGACTCAGTCCAAGGCAATTGTTATCTCCATAAACGTACCCCTCATTACTCCACCATTCACTATTCCATCCACCTATCATCATGATGATCCCTCGACATTGTATCCACGACGCGCACAACCTAGCCTCAAAGCCCCGCACAATATAACGAATCCAGCGAGATTTAGCCCTCCCCCGGAGTCTCCAACAAAGCCCGCACTCTGATCAGACAGAAACTAAATTCCCGGACATCATCCCACTCGCTCTCCTAACCTCGTTCTACTTATAATCATCATCTTCATCATCATCATCATCGTCATCATCAGCATGAGCATTATCATTATCATCACGGCATATTACACAAATGATATAAGAAGAAAATAGAGAATATCGGTTGATTGACTATCTAGCCAATAGCCATAGCTGGGAATTTATGAAAGCACTGGGTTAGCTAGTCCCGATGCACCCGTCCGTAGCCCCCAGCTGGATATATTCGTCACGTCTAACTGTTTCCCCCGATATAACCGGCAAACCGTTACCCAGATACACCTTCCACGGCTATCACCGCTCAACTGATATTCATTTAGCCGCAGAGCGCAGCAGTTCGCGCTTCATACTCTGTTTCCCCCGCATGTTAACCACCCACCAACCCCACCAGCCCCACCAGCCCCACCAACCCCACCAACCCCCTCCAAGCCTGCTGCTGCTGCCTCACTCAACCCTTGGGGATTTTACGGGTGCAGGGGAGTCTACCTCTATGCCAGGAGGGATGCGAAGGGGTGAGTACATACCATGCGGTACACCCCTCCAGCTATAGTTTGTGCCACCGGAGAAGAGGGAATCGTTACTATGGCGAGATCAATATTATCCTACAGCGCAAGTCTCCAGTCACCAACTTCTCCCTCTCCGGTTACCTACCTGACTGCCCCTGCACTATATCCAATTTTGGGCTAGCTTTTATACCGAGTCACACCGAGCCATCCCGAGCTATCCCGAGCCATCCCAAGCTCACCGGCTCGTTGGCTTACATCCCCTTGCAATCGGTCAACGATAATCAGACAGCATCACCGAATCACCGACACAACCGCATTTTCAGTCATCCTCGTCGAACCATTTATTCACGTTCCAGGGAAATATCATTCTGTTTCGAGTTTTTTTTTTTTTCATTCAGTTAGGAAAGGCTCCTGTAGGTGCTGCCTCATTATCCGGGCACAGGGGTATCGCCTTCCTGGGGCTTTGAGGCTCCGGGGAGTCTAGGAGGTTGGGCTACCCCGAGTTTGATAGGTTCCAGGAAATTCGGGGACTGCATTATTTTATTTGGGGAGACAACCTGCAGCGATGGCTCAAGGCGTGGTATCACATTTGTTTTCAGTTTTTTTTTTTATAAATAATTGTTTAGGGTCAGGGCGTCGGCGAGAAATTAGAGTTGGAGGCGCTCGTTATAGGGGTATCAAAAAATACTTCGGATGAAATTTATGCATTTTCTAATGGATTATAGAAAATAAAAAATTATTATTCAATGGGATCGTCGGGGGAGTGTCATGGGGACATTGAAAATTTATTATCATCAATGGAGATACAGAGTTACAGCAGAAGACATCGATGAGCGATTATAAAACGGATAATCGTGATGGGTAAATACAATTGGACAGTGTATGCGAGGTATCGAATTCGGAAGGTTAATTATTATTCGATTGTATTTGCATTGAATGGTTCACAGTATCGAAAGCTGAATTGATTTATTGACGATTTTAATATGTGTAGATAGCGGATGTTTTACATTTTTCTCGTTGAGGCGAATAAATTGTCAGAATTTGGAAGGAGTTGGAAAATAGATATTCGATTAGTTTTCTTCGCTAGTTCCGATAGATATTCACCGAATACTGTGTGAATTTTCCACGAACAAATGGAAGGTTTCGAGTTAAATCAAGAGGTTTCAGAGATCTCCATTAACTATTCATTTGCCATATTTTATGACTGCGGAATAATTAATGGATATCAATATTCATGTAACTCCGTGCAGTGGGAACAATATTTTTCATTTGAAATGAATATTTCTTGATGATAAATAGGAATAAATGAGGTTTTTCTATCTGTTGAATAAAGATTGATATCAAGCCCTGAAAAAACATGGATAATATTTAGCAAGAAAGGGTGTTGAACATTTTAAGATAACATGGAGGCAGTGAAAAATTTCAGACATGCGAAAAATGATGGTGAATCTATTGGTGATGGTTTGTAAGTGGGAATTAGGCGTAATTTACTTTTTAATGTTCAGCTGTTGTAACGATTTAGAGTATAATTGTCCTTTTATGGGAGGTAAAACCAGAAAGAAAGCCCAGCCAATTTTCACAAGTTTACCCAATCCACTTGGCAGACTTTTAATGCTGTTACGAATTTCCAAGGGTAATAAAGTCACGGATATATCCAGAAGCGATTCAAGCATAGAATATTACAAAACCCATTTCGAAGATTGAGGTTGAAGTAGAATAGCCGGGGAGTATTAATAATTTCGAGTATAATTCTCCGTTTCTGGTAATGACACCGAATTAAACTTGTCTCAGACTCTGCAGGTACATATTGGCGTAATATACCAAGTCGCAAAATAAATTGGAATGGGATAGGCAGGGATGTGCAGACGTCTCATGTCACTGGGACAATAAAAGTTTTTCAAAACTCGGAGGAAATGTTTTTATTCTTCAAATTTTGTTTATCCTCTTTTATCCAAATAATGGGTAAAATTGTCCGTTCATTTGAGATGAAAGAATTTTTTTTTTAACTTCAGGTTGAATTAATCCTTAAGTTCATTTAGTCTCTGAGGATTCTTATCGCTTTGAACCTCAATTCAGCCTCATTGATGAACCATTCTCACTGCAGGGTGCATTAATATTATTACTCGACGATGAAATAAATGTCTGGATTTGTTACGGGCACTTACACCCGGCGTAACATTTCAGAGTGACAACTGCGGGAATAAATTGACTGTAAATTTTCAATTATCTTTCCATTCCAGTGAGGCTGTGTCGGGAATTAAAATAAAAGAAAAAAAGTCAGGGAAAAAATTTATCATTAAAATTAAATCGAGTGTTCCGGGAAAAAGTCATTACATAGTTTATATTTTGATGGATTGACTGCACTCTTTGCGAAAGAATCTTCTCCATTTTATCCCACGAAAGTTTCATAAACGAAGCGAAGATAAATTATGATGTTTCATGATGTCGACTGCGCCGAAAAAATTGGATAAAGTTTAATGACTAAAACTAGTCGTTAAATTGAAAAACCAAGTGTTGAAGGTAGTAATAATAATAATGTTCGTTTTAGTTTATAGCCGCGGTTATTCCATTTTTTAATGTCAAATTCGTGACCTGCCGGTTCTGCTAGGAATTAAACCATTTCGTACCGTCGCATTTGATAATGCGGGGAAAAAAAGTTCAATTCAAGAGATAAACCGAAACATTTGTTCTAAAATCAAATCATTCCTTAGGCAAATAAATTATTCTTCATTATTACATTCTCTAAAAAATCCATCAAGAGGATAAATGGTATCAAAAATTTTTATTCAATTGAACTGAATTGAAATAAAATTCCACAGTAAAAATAAAAAAGCTCAGTCAAAAGGCAATGTCATGGAAAAAAGAATAATTCGTTTTTGGGAGGATTCACACGTGTGTTATTGACAGTAGTCATCGACTTGAGCCCTGGGATATTTATCTCTTCACCTTATCCTTGAGATAGGGGAGTTTCAATACTCTGGGGACTTCTCCACTACACAGTCATCCCTCCCGAGATTATTTCCTCCTAGTTATCGGCTCTGGAATCCTTCAACCCACTCTCAATCGATCGTTTTAATGAGTCGTGTGAGAGATGGAGGGACTTATCCACATTGTATTCAAGGAAAATCATCTCATGACGAGTTGAATCACTGGATGAATAACAATTCTCCAGTTTAGTTCGACATTTATTATCTTTGCATCAGACTCTACAATGAATTTACATTTTTTTATATGAATATTCCCATAATTTTCCCTTCTATGGCATTCACATTTGAAATGAACAAACACACTCCCCAAACAACTGAAAATTCGATAAATGCATGAATTAATTGAAGAATAATTAACTCACAATCGATGTACCGTTTTCATGATATCGCAGGTACACCTCATCTGCATGACCTTTTTACTCATTCAACGCTCAAAATGCCACCTCTTGATTTTATTGAAAATTCACAATGTGAATATTTGAGTTGGTCTTCGGTACACGATGAATCCTGATTGTTTACATTGATTATCGATTTAGAGGATTTCGAATGTGTCGGGCAGGTCACATGAAAATTGGGTCTAGGGAATTTTCAAATAATCCAACCCTTGCCGCCTCGTAAGATACTTACTAGATGTCACTAGGTATTTGGAACACTTCGAACGACTTGGACGCAATAGACGGCTTTCAACCCTTTCAACTATCAAATATCAAATTTTGCATTTTATTGAGGATTTTCTCGTAATTATCTGATATATTGGAGGACAAACGAAAAGTTCAGAATGACAACACTCGAGGATAAATCTATTTGGGAGAATACTGAGGTAAATACCTTCTGGAAAGTAGTTTAATTTGATTTTGGGGTTAGAAGTCATGAATGACAAGTCATTTCTTATAATCAACAGACTGGAGGTAAACCCATGTAAATTAATAAAATGGATTATCAGCTGATAATTCTCGTGATGTTACACTCACTTTTATGTGGATTTTATTCGAGTTTTTTTGTCTGTAAATATGCTAGAAATAATGGAATGAAATAAATCTACTTGATAACTGCAATTAAAAATATGAGAAAAATCAAATAAAATGAACTTGACCCCCTCAGGAAAGCCTTGGTGAAGACATTCTCCGAATGTCGACGGACGAAATCGTTCCTCGTACTCGTCTCCTGGACAATGAGATAAAAATAATGAAGAGCGAGGTGATGCGTATATCCCATGAGCTCCAAGCTCAGAACGATAAAATAAAAGAGAACACGGAGAAGATAAAAGTGAACAAAACCTTGCCGTACCTAGTATCCAATGTTATCGAGCTGCTCGACGTGGATCCCCAGGACATGGGCGAAGAGGATGGAGCTGTGGTCGACCTGGACTCTCAACGGAAGGGAAAATGTGCAGTAATAAAGACCTCCACTCGTCAGACTTATTTTCTACCAGCAATTGGTTTGGTTGATCCCGATACTCTCAAACCCGGAGACCTAGTTGGTGTCAACAAAGACAGTTATCTCGTCCTGGAGACCCTTCCAGCAGAGTACGACGCCAGAGTGAAGGCTATGGAAGTGGATGAGAGGCCAACCGAGCAATATTCAGACATTGGAGGATTGGATAAACAGATTCAAGAGTTGATTGAGGCTGTTGTGCTGCCCATGACTCACAAAGAGAAGTTTGAAAATCTAGGTATCCAACCCCCCAAGGGTGTTCTTCTCTACGGACCACCTGGCACTGGCAAGACCCTTTTAGCCAGGGCCTGCGCTGCCCAAACCAAATCAACTTTCCTTAAGCTCGCTGGACCCCAACTCGTCCAGATGTTCATTGGAGATGGAGCTAAACTAGTTCGTGATGCTTTCTCATTGGCCAAGGAGAAGGCACCTGCCATTATCTTCATTGACGAACTCGATGCCATTGGCACCAAGAGATTTGACTCTGAGAAGGCCGGCGATCGAGAGGTTCAGCGCACTATGCTGGAGCTGCTTAATCAGTTGGATGGCTTCAGCTCAACTGCTGACATCAAGGTCATCGCAGCCACCAACAGGGTCGATATTCTTGATCCGGCGCTGCTGCGGTCTGGACGTCTCGACAGGAAAATTGAGTTTCCTCATCCCAATGAAGAGGCCAGGGCCAGAATCATGCAGATACACTCGAGAAAAATGAACATGTCACCCGATGTCAACTTTGAAGAACTTTCCAGGTCCACTGATGACTTCAATGGAGCACAGTGTAAAGCTGTTTGTGTTGAGGCTGTGAGTTGTTATTCAAATGCTAATTCCACCAATTTCATTGATTAATCTCTGAACGTCTCTAAAATCCCACATTTATTACATAATTTTCGAAATATTTTTAATTTCAGGGTATGATTGCTCTGAGACGCAATGCAACTGCTGTTACTCACGAAGATTTAATGGAGGCCATCAATGAGGTGCAAGCAAAGAAAAAAGCAAATCTCAATTATTACGCTTAAACATGTTGTATTTTTCAATGTAATTTATTAGGTTTTTCATACGAATTAATGAATTGTATTTCACACTCATACATCCTCAATACAAGTAAATAAATACCCACTTTAGTTGGAAACAATGAGTGAAAATAACTGGATTGAGTGATAAATTAAATTGAAAAGAAGGTACTTCCATTTTTAGTCTCAAACCATCACTCATTTCCTAATAAACCAAATATAAAGTCTTCCTCTCAATCAGTAAAGAGTGGATTCATCGTCTTCTGTGACTTCTCCTCTTGACTCTGAAAACGCAAAATGTGACATTCACAAGAGAATTAAATTTGAGGGGAAAATTCATTTAGAAAAACTCGAAATTGAATAAAAAAAATCTCACTTTTTCGGTCCCTTCACAAAACACCAATCAACGGAAATAGCCTGGCCTAATATCTCAGTACCATTTAAAGCCTCTTTGGCAGCCTGAGCCTCTTTAAATGTCTCATATTCAACCAGTGCATATCCCTTCAAAAATCCAGTCCTTCTGTCGAGATTCAAGTGTAAATTCTTTATCTGTCCATATTCGGAGAATTTATCTTGGATGTCGTCCTCCTGTGCTTCTTCGTGGACGGAATTTATAAACAAAATCCATCCCTCCACAGCTGTAAAGAAAGGATGGAGACAAGAAAATAAAAAAATGCACCCCATACGCTAGTATTAACGAAAATTAATGGAACAACGGCATTTCTTTATAATTAATTAATTCATCTGGGAATACCCACATCTCTGAGGACCAGGTTCGTTATCGTCATCCTCGACGACATTCATCGACTCGTAGTGACCAACGTCATCTCGAGTGGAGGCAAGTTCAGCTCCATGACCTCTTCCTTTCCTCTTCTTCGCCTTTTCCTTCAGCCTGGCAATGCCCTCTGAAAATTTTCGTCAATAAAAAAATGGCTATTGCAATCACAATCAAAATACAACAGCAATAATCATACGAGGATAAACAAACAATTAGGTTATCCCCCAAAGAGTCATGGTAAACCACGAATAATACTTACGATCGCCCTCGTCATCGACCTCAAACTCCTCGGCGTTATCAATATCCAGGACGTCGGCCATGTTAATCGAATAATTTCTTGAAAATTGTTGAGAGTAATTGAAGACTCAGTACGCGTCCGAATACAACGCGAGCAACGGAAAACTTTTCAGCACTAGTGGCATTTGCGAGACTTTTCGAAGTGGTGATTTTACGCCCTCCTACTTTGCGGTAGAAAAATACAGGTCGTTTCTCCCAAAGAGGATTGACCAAGTAGAGGCTCAGTTCTGGGGGTTTGAGTGACCCCAGCGGCATCGTAGTAGCCGACCCCATAAGAGGGAGGGCGCCACACGCAACGCTGGGGTATCTGCTCGTTAGTCGACACAGCGACTCTTCAGTAGCAGTCCCGCTGCCACAGGGACCAGTCGAAAGGAAACTTCTACAGAACATTAGAGATCCTGACATCCTGAAAAAATAAAAAAATAACAACGACTTACAGCTAATGCAGCAGTTTTCGCAAACGAACCGGCATTCGAGCTGACGGCATTAGAAAACAGAACGTAATTCAATGTATCTGATACTCCCATTCTCGTTTCAGAGATCCAATCGAAGTGTTTTCGATGGTTAAGACCAAAACCCACAAGCTAAATTCTCTTCAATCAATTATTTTTCACTGACTATTGGATTGTACGTGATTGCACTATTTTTTTTAAGAGAGAATTATTTATTAGGTTAAGAATTTTCGCAATTATCTTATCTCGTCAAATTGAGACTGCCCGCGGGGTTCTGTACGCATCGACGGTGTGTGTGCGTATGCACGGAGCACGGAGTATCGCCTGGCGACCCCCTACTCGAGCGGTCTTCTGTGTTCTGTGCGCATGCGGGGTGTTCAGTGCGCGTGCGCGGAGTATCGCCGGGGGACCCCCCACTCGAGCGCCACCTCCAAAGCCCTGCCATTTTCGAGTGGGGAGTCAGTCGTTCCGCGACCCGCGCGTGGAACGGTCGCTCGTGCGTCGCGTAGTTAAAATCCGTTAACATCGAGGTCCTAGTGAGCGCAAAAAACCGGCGCCGCGTGTGAACATTGAAAATACAAAGTGCGGGACTCAGTGCAAGTGATTTCGTGAATTTTTTAGTGTGTGTTTAGATACGGACTAAAGTGACAGTGCGAATTAGATTCGAAGGATTAAAAATATTATTTAATCTTTGATATTATTTTATTGATCTTTGTGGATTTTGAGTTGATAAAACATTCTTGGTTGTGTGGTGAGTGATAAGTGAACTTTTGAACTGTCTGGAGTGCTGATGCTGCCAAGCCGACTTCAACCTTTGGCGTGAAAATCATATGTAGATCTTCAGGATTGGAGGGAATCTTGCAACCGACTGCAAGGTGAGTTTCATATGCATTTTTTTTATGACCTTGAAGCATCATTTTCATTCTATTTTCATGTCATTTTTTTCATTCCTGATTCTTGATATATTCAATGCTTACATTACAAACAATTTTCAATTATTCAATTAACTCTCCAATAAAATAAAAAAAAAATAAAATAAAAAATAATAAATAATTTTAAATAATAATTTAAAATAAAAACTCTCAAATCAAAATTAAAAATCGCCTTTGTAGTAAAAAAATTATTTAGTCGAAATTTTATTAACAATTTGTTTTTTTTTATGTTTACAGTTACGGTAAGTTGTTCGAAAGGTGAAAATTGAAAGCGGACTTATTTTCATCCAACGCCGGTGAGTGAAATTTATTTATTAACTAGCGCCGCCGGATATATCGTATCCGTTCCGTGGATTTTTTCGTGGTCGGTTCGGGAGTTTGAATTTTCG